AGGAGTGGAGTGGGGGGGGGCGACAATAGGGAGGTGCATCTGTAATACTTGCAAAAATAAAGATTAAACCTATTTTTTAAAAATAAAACTTCTATTTATACTGCTAGCACAGTGAAAAGACAAGCCACAGATAAGAAGATAACTGTTAACCTTTAAAAGGATTATTATAGAGAATACATATATAATGCCTTTGAATCAATATGAAAAAGATAAGCAACTCCATAGAAAAATAGGAGAGTTCAAGGAAATTTGTTCCAGAAATCTAGAGAAAATTAATAAAAGAGGAATCCTGAATGGCTAAGAAACATGAAAAGAGCCTCACTTATAATCAAGGAAACACACACAAAAAAAAGTATGGAAAAAAAATTAATGTCTGATAATATCAAGTATTGATTAGTATTTCTGGTGGAAGAGTAAAACTTTAGAGAGCAATCTGACAATACTGAGAAGAGTTAAAATTACGCATATTTTGGATCCAGTTATTCCAGGCATAAACCTAGAGAAATATATATCCAAGGAGAAATGATAAAGGATGTTTGTTGCAGCATTTTATTATAAAAAATGAAGACAATTAAATTTCCTTCTATATAATAATAAATTTTAAAAAGAAATATTTATACAATTTAATATAGATACAACTGTTCAGATGTACACTGCATCAAAATAAATAAATTTTAAAATTATAATACTGAGCAAAAAATGTAAGCTGCAAATGGGTATCTATAGTATATTATCACTTTTTAAAAACTTAAAGCACACAAAACAGCTTTATACATCAGCTGTGGGTAATAGACTTGTAGAAAAGTATAAACATATGCAAAAGAGTTCCACAATGGACAGGAACCTTACACACACCAAGCAGGAGAGAGGGAGAAGGGGAAAGGATGCCAAGTTGTATCTTGTAATGTTTTGTTTCTTTAAATCAGAGGTGGGGAACATCTGGCCCTTGGGCCATAAAAAAATCATTTGGTTTGGCCATGCCAAGGCAACCACAGGCGGGACTCAAAATTCATTAAGTCTAGGAACTTTTTTCATAGCAACGATAATTCTGTATGGCCCTCGAACAATGTTATAAATATCCAAATGACCCTTGGTAGAAAAAAGGTTCCCATCCCTGCTTTAAAGAGAGACTTGAAGTAAATATGGAAAAATGTTAGCATCCTTAAGTCTGGGAGGGGGGATATAAGCATGCCTTTATATTACTTGTTTTTTGTTTTGGTTGTGTGTTTTTTGGTATGTTTGAAATAGTTCCTGATTTTAATACATGCTAAAGATTATTCTAGTTGTAGGGCAGGTAACAGATTAGAGGAGAAACAGAGTGGGTACAAGAAGAGCTATCAGGCACCAATTCACAGTATATTTAAATCATTGAAGTGTTTGTTTATATATTTAATTTATGGAAAGCCAAACAAAGCTCTCAGATACAATACGTACTACAAGCATGTTTTCCCAAACTCACCTCCTCGACCTCTCTATTGAGGGCATCGACCTTTTTAGTGGTAAGTTCTAATTTGAGGGTATTGTTTTCTGCCTCTGCTTGCCAGGCCTTATTTTCCCAGTTTTCAGCATCTTCATTGGTCTTTTGGAGTTGGTCCATCCTGTGCCAGTTTTGAGATTCCTGAAAAGCAAATCTTATGTATTATTTTACAAGATGTAAGATGTTCAAGAAATAATGAAACATTATTTGCCAGGTCACTGGGAATTTACTTGCCACGAGGACCATAACCTTGAGGAATCCCACCTACCTACCCTCTCAGTTTAGAAAATTGGTCATCCTGTAAAACGTAATTTTACAAGTTAACTAACTTGTTCTAACTTACTGTTCTGGCTTTCAAGATTCAGATATTCCAAATGTGCCAGTGGGGATCTGATGTGTGTTTTCCATTATTTTACTAAAAATTAACAGTTGTGTACAGAGTATGTACTTGGAAGGTACATGGTACAATATACATAAACTAAATTTAACCCACGTCTATCTTTACCCTCCTTAAATTTCTGTAGCACTTATTGTTTTGTCATTTTCTTAAAATGGTCTTACAACTTTATGTAATTAGGTGTGGGTGCACAGTCTTCCCAATAAAGACTTGGATTCCTCAAAGATAGGAACTATTTATTTTATTCTTATTGTTGAGAGTATTATAGATGTCTGTCTCTCCTTCTCCCCATTGCCCCCTCTACCCGGATCTTACCCCACCCTTGGCCTTCACCGCCCTATAGTCTGTGTCCATGTATGCATATAAATTCTTTGGTTAATCTCTTCCCACCTCCTTGCCCCCTTCCCTCTGAGATTCGTCAGTCTGTTCCATGTTTCCATGCCTCTGGTTCTACTTTATTCATCAGTTCATTAGATGTCGGTGGTGATAGGTAAGAAGGACTTGTTTGAAAGCTATTAATACATAAGATTTGCTTTTCAGGAATCTCAAAACTGGCAAAGGATGGACCAACTCCAAAAGACCAACATCTCCAGAATAAACTTTCTAAAAGGCAATTCTTCAAATAACTTCTGTGCTTATGTTGTAACAGCTTCCTGAAAATAGCTTTATTTTGTTCATTAGAATCCTTGTTTATTTTCATTTTTTAGATTCAATTATTGATAGATATGTATTTATTGCCATTTTATTGTTCATATTTTTTATCTTTTTTTTCTTCTACCATTTTTAATATTAGATTTACTTTTGTGACTATGTGATACAGGTTCAAGGTCTAAGTGATCAAAAAGAATTATCACAAAACATCTCTCCTGCCCTCCAATCCTCCAGTGTCCCTTCCTTGTAGCAACCAAGCAGCCACATTTCACCCTTTTTTGTATCTGTCCAGAGCAGCCAGAGCAGTGTGGGGCCCAGGATGGGCAACAACATAAAGAACGTGAAACCGCTCTTCGGTACTGTCCACGTCTCTCCTCTTTCACGATGTCTTCCCCTCTTTCTCCTGCTACCCCCGTCCCTCTCCCCAGCAGCTGCTTCTGGTGGCCCACTGGGCGCATTACCACACTCTGCCACCACGAAGCTCACTGCCTCCACTGGAACCCATCCTTGCCCTTCTTGACTGAAGTATGGATGCGGACTCTCCTAATTGATCTCTTTCCTTCTGATTTTCTTACCCTTCTGATTTATCCTTCCCAACATCTCCAGAATAAACTTTCTAAAAGGCAGTTCTTCAAATAACTTCTGTGCTTATGTTGCAACAGCTTCCTGAAAATAGCTTTCAAACAAGTCCTTCTTACCTATCACCACCCACATCTACACTCCACTCTAGGTACAGGACCTACTATTTCCCCCTAACACCTTTGCTTATGCCGTTCCCACTGCCTGGGGTGCCATTCTGTTTCCTTTTAGTTTTTCATCTCTGGCGCTTCTGCACCTAGAATACTGCATGCTGAGTGACTGAGTGGATGGCGAATGCACTCGACAGTTCTTACTGGATTACCTACTGTTTGTTCTCTCCAGAGAAAGAGTTGCCTGGATTCATCCAGCTATGTTGTGAAATGAAATCCCATGAAAGAACTCGTACTAGGATGCTAAAATCTAAGAGGAGCTTGATGTGTGATGCCTAAAAACACAACTCTAAAATCTATCAGCTCAAATCCTTAATGGTGAAATTTCAGGTAATGTGACAGGCTGGGGAGAGAGGGAAACTGTCTAACACTAACTGAAAGTTTACTATGCTCAATGTTGCTCAGATATTCACTTGTTATATTCTGCCCTATTCCAGAATAGACTCAAACTGCTCACTGTACTGCATCTACCTGCCTTTCTAGGGTGTTCTTTCCAATACAGCGGGGACACTGAGACTCAGAGAGGTTGAGTAACCTACCTAAGTCCATGTCATTAGGGAGAAGAGGAGTCAGGCCTATCTGACTCTGGAGTGTCTGTCCATTCATGATACTACATTGCTGGCATATTAACATCAAGAAGTGTAGGAAAATGCCTGCCTTGTCAATGTAAGCCTGGTGCTTTACTACCTGAAAGCAAGTATTACAATTTAGGAGTTCTGAGAATCTCTTTCTCTTAACATCCTAAACACTCTAATTAACACCATAAATAAATGCTCAAGATATGTTTGTGGACTGATATTAAATGATATGTTAAATAAAATTAGAAAAATAGTTTTTTTGGGGGGTAGGGAATTCCTATTAATGGTTTGAGTGTTATATAGATAACACGACACCTGTTATAATTCAACTATACTTTGTAATCAGACCAACTACATGTTTTAGATAATATTTTACTGAACAGACATATCTAACATCCTTGATCAAGCTCTCTGTTTATTCCAGGATTGCCACACATGTACAACAATTTAATTAATTGATGTCACACCCATGCATCTGGTCAAATAGTGACTAACAGAGAAGAGCAGAGGACAGCCATCTGCCTTCTGGTCCTAAGAAATAGATGGCCCCAAACAGAGTGATCAGTTCTGATCTGCTACACAATCAAGTGGAGCCACTTTTTATTTATATAATAATACCCACATCTGAGCCTCATCCTTGAGAGATTCTTTTTTTAACATGTTTTGATTGATTTTTAGAGAGAGAAGAAGGGGGGGGAGAGAGGGAGACAGAGAGAGAAACATCGATTCAAGAGAGAAACGTCAATCAGCTGCCTTCCATAGGAGCCCCAACCAGAGATCAAGCCCACAACCTGGGCATATGCCCTGACTGGGAACTGAACCTGCAACCTTTTGGTGTGCAAAACAATGCTCCAAACAACTGAGCCACACAGCCAGGGTAAGTGGAGCCTCTTCTGTTGAAAGTTTGTACTTGAAACCTCTACCATTTTCAAATATGAATAAGCCAAGTTGATTCTGGCCCCTTGTCCTTTATTCAGTTAGGAGGATTCTAAGTATCTAGATTGCCTGAGTAGCAAACTAAAAGTTATATTCTTGAATTACCTTTCTGGACATTGTTGATGTTCTAAATATACAGTTAATCCATCATCGTCAACACTAAAACATGCTATGCATTCAAGGAAGACTTGATTCTGCTCTCCCCATGAGTGGAACTGATCAATAAGTTTAGTGAAAACTCTTAGGTATCATTAGCAAAGAGGGAAAAATATATACGTACTTCAGACTTTAATATATTCTTCAGTTTGTTAAGCTCCAAATTAGTATCTTGGACTTTCTGTTTTATATCATTAAGTTCATTATGAGTATCATTCAATTGTTTAGACAGTACCTATGAGAAAAAGCTAGATTAGACTAAAAAAATTTAAAAATTGCTCTATGTCAAAAACACCATAAATAAATTTTAAAATTCGTAAAAGTTAATATACCTAATATACAAAGCTCATATAAAAACAGTGAGAAAACATAAGAGTCTAAACAGTAAACGGGCAAAGAACCCGAACACATAATTCACGAAAGGAAGCACAAGTAGATAATACTTTAAAAAGTTAAAAATTTACTAGTAATCAAAGAAATTCTAATTAAGACAATAAAAAAGTATTTTGCCTATAAAATTAGCAAAGATTTAAAGCTATTCTGTTATGGCAAGAAATGGGTATATCCATATATTATTGGAGTAAATGTAAATTTGCAAAAAGCAAATCTGTGATCTGCTATTTGGTGTTGTATCAAGAGACATTTTTAAATACTAATAAAAACAAGAAAGTCAAATATGTGGCTGTTTGTTGAAGATGGGAGATGGATACATGCATATTCATTACATTTGAAAATGTCCCCCTAATTAAAAAAAATTCATAAGCTTTGATTCAATTTGAAATGAAATCTAATAAAATTTAATGAAGGCCAGCTGACATGGCTCAGTGGTTGAGTGTTGACCCATGAACCTGGAGGTCACGGTTTGAGTCCCAGTCAGGGCACATGCCTGGGCTGCTGGCTCAGTCCCCAGCAGGGGGCATGCAGGACACTGATGTTTCTATCTCTCTCTCCCTCTCCCTCTCCCTTCCTCTGAAATCAATAAAAACATTAAAAAAAAAAAAAAAATTTAATGAAAAGGAATGTTCAGTAAGGCATTATTTGTTATAGTAACAATATTTATTCACATTTAATGGGGGGGAAAAACACACAGGATAAAACACTAAAAATACCTCATCCAAATTTGTAAAAAACTGTGGTATTAAAGGGTGAAATTTTTTTAAGGTTTCTGTTTTCTAAATCTGTGATATGGGTTCTTAATCTGTAGTCCACAGAGGGATCCATCTTCTACACTTGGGCCTATGACCCAAACAAAAGAAAAAAGTACTCTTGAACATATGAAAATTGTTATGATACCAATTATAAAAAATGTTTATAAATTTTTAACAAAGCAGGGAAGTACTTACAATGTTACAGTAAGGTAACAATAGCCTACAAAATATTTATCAACTGATTATGCTTGACTCTCTGATAAGTGCTTTGTAGGCATATTCTCATTTATTCTCCATTTTTACAGATAGTGAACTGAGATTCAGAGAAGTTAAATGATATTTTCACACAGCCGGGTAAGAGGATTCAAACTCATGTGAGTCTTAAACACTCTACTGTATTCTCATGTAGAAAAACCATGATATAAAGAGGTATATGGTTTTGTCCCAGCTACGTAAAAAGTTCATGTAAAAGAATAAAATTAAAAAATAAATACACTGAAAATCACTAAAAAATATATTAACAGTGGCTAACTCTGAGCGGTAAAAAATGAGAGTTTTTAAACCTAATTTTTCATAAATATAAGTTATATTTACCTTTAGCCTAATTGCTCTAGCTACAGAGTACACAAAATTATAAATTCACATTTTTTGTTTTTATTGCTATTCATTAACTTTTTAAAAATAAACTTTATTTCAGAATAGTTTTAGGTTTACAGAAAAGTTATGAAAATAGTACAGGGAGACTCCTTATACTCTAAATTCAGTTTCCTCTTTTAGTAACCTATTATATTAGTATGGTACAGTTATCATAATGAATGAATCAATATTGATACATTATTAACTAAAGTCCATATTTTATTGAAATTTCTTCCATTTTTTAAAATTTATTGATTTTTCTGGAGAGAGTGGAGAAGGGGGGAGAGGGAGGGAGGGAGACAGAGAGAGAAAAAGAGAGAAACATTGATCTGATTTGTTGTTCCACTTATTTATGCATTCATAGGTTGCTTCTTACATGTGCTCTGACCAGAGATCAAACCTGCAACCTTGACAAATCGGGACAACACTCTAACCAACTAGGCTACCGGGACAGGGCCCAGATTTATTTCATTTTTATGTACTATCCCTTTTCTGTTCCAGGATCCCATTAATTCATCAACTTTTGAACACAGTATTTTAACATCTCAGGCAATTTTTTGTAATTCACAAAATGTTGCACCTTTATATCTATTTATACAAATTAAAAATATTTAACAGTTAAAAAATACAGACTTTTATGATGAAACTAAACATATTGAGAGTGAGAGGAAACTGGGGAAATCATTTGGACTAAAGAATTTTCAGTGGGGAAGAAAGCTTCCAAATAAAAAATTTTTTAATGGTCAAATTAAAATAATGATATTGGAAATGAGAACTGTGGGTAAAGTATATTGGTTTAAAGAGGAAGTAATGATAAAAGAAATTTTCTTGAAAAGAATTACAGTGCTAAAGAGAACCAAAAATTGTGGTATAGTTCATACACTCATACTTAGAATAATAATAGTCCATCCAATAGATCTACCATTTTCTGAAAAGTTTCTGAAGGTTTTATCCTCATTTGTTGAGTACTTTTAAGGTTTAATACAAATCTATTATATCACCTGTTGCCTCTTTTCCTTAATATTTAACACTTTATGTCTGAGGATTTCATTTAGAAATTATGTGGCATATTGTGTAATAAAGGTAAAGAATGGCTGGTTCCAAAGCCTGAGTTTTTCTACAAAATGAAGAGAACTGAGTGTCAGAGGAATATATATTTTCTTGGACAAAAAGATACTAGAAACAAATATACCTGGTTTTCGTGTTTAGCTTTAGAAAACTGTTCTTGGAAATTGTCATTCTCATGAGCCAAGATAGCTCTTTCCCTGGCTAGTTGAGCCAGTTCATCGTTTGTTTCATCCAATTGCCGACGCATTCTGGAAATGTCTTGTTCACACACACTTAGCACTTCAGTGGACTGTCTATTCCACAAACCAAATAGTATATAAGAAGAGACACTTAACCAAAGCAGAATAACAATTCTCACAAGAAAGAAGAGGGACAGTTTGCAAGAAAACATTTAAAGAAGTTTTAGACACAATTAAATTTATAGGAATAAATACCGCAAAGATAGTGCGTTGGAGTTTCTCTATGTTGCCAACATTTCACTATGTATGAAAAAAGGATGCTAACTATACATAATAGTCAATGATTAGCTAAGCATTTCAAAATTTCTGACATTCAAATATAAGAAAGCTTTCATCCCACCTCTAACTGCCATGGCTTAGGCTCCTTTGAAGTTCCTCTTTCTCTGCCCTCTTAAAACATAAGGGTTCTGAGAGCTTAACTCTTAGCCTTCTGATTCCTTTTACTCTACGCCTTCATTCAGACAATTATTATTCACATCCGTGGCTCCCAACCCCATCTGTACCCACATGACTCTGAAATCATTACCTCCAGCCTCGGCCTCTTCCTTAGACTCCAGATTCATATTTAACTGCTTACGAGACAGATTTACGAGTAGGTCTCAAAGGCTCTTCCAATTCAGAGGAAAATCATCTTTTTCTATACTTTTCTACAGGTCCAGTATTCACCCCCAGCCAAAAACCTGGCATTTTCCTAGATTTTCCTCCTCACAAACACCTTACCCTGTCCCCCAACTTCCTGACCCCCATCTATCATCGTTCTTCAGCCTAGGTAATCTTTCTAACGCAAAAATCTCCTCAAAATTCCTTAATGATTTCTTATTTCCCAAAGGGTAAAGGCAGGACTCATTTGTCTACAATGCAAGTCTCTGGGTCCAGCCTTTCCTCCCTCCACATCTCTCACGCTTCGGGTTCCAACAGGCGCCTACTAGTCATTCAAGAGGCTCCTGAACACTATCTGTGTTTCTTTGTGGTTCTTTGCTATCCTTTCTACCTTGAATGTTCTTTCCTTTCCTTTCCTTGGCAAACACCATCTCCTCTTTTACTTCCCTCACAGACGTAGGCCTCCTTCCAATATTAGAAAGTCATAGCTTTACACAGAACACGAAGCCCCTTGTTTCTTAATATCTTTGCGCCTAATGTAGTACTTTGTGCCTCACACACACTCAAATTCTTGCTGAATGAAGGCTTTACCTTGATGCCTGTTCTGCCTCAGTGATGATGTTCTTCACACCTGAAAGAGCCTCTTCCTTGAAAAGTAACACAAGTACGAAATAAAAATTATCTTAAACTGTTATTTCTGTTTAAACTGGATGAACAAAAACAAAATTTCCCCCACCCTTTTTGATTTCCATTTGGGTTTAAACATTTATACTCTATCCATCTTTTCTATACTTTAAAACTAAAGCCTAATATACCAATGCAAGTATTTATGGTAGGTAAAAACAATAGATTATGCTTATTAAAGACTACGCTTACATGTACTGATACAAGATCAATATATCAAGTACTTTGTTAAAGTTTTGCCCAGTTACCTAGCAACACAGCAACCTCGGAAGCACTCTGTACTTGGAGGCGAACCAATGGTTCGTATTAGGGTTTTCTCTGTGGGGAATGGGACTGACTCACTTCCTCACTTCCTGGGTTATAAAACCCAGGGAAGTGAATCATGTAAAAATAAATTTAGTTCTTAAGAATAATAACTTCGATCAAGCATATTATTTATATTATTCATCAACAGCATCTTCTAAAAGCTGCTAAAATGGAATTACTTAGGTGTGATTTAAATAAAGAGGTAAGCATTAGATCTAGAGCAAAACATAAATAAAATAAACTATTGATATTCTCCTTTTTCAAGGCTATGGTGAGAGAGTATATTAACAAAGTCAGTCAAGGCTGACATGGGTGTGATTACCTTCAGACCATCAATACCATTCCCACACTCCTCCTCTGAAAATTCTTGTTGATGCTGAACTAGTTACAGATATTACTTACTGATATTCAGGCTAACATTAGCCCCGAAAAAGTAAGAAAACTGTTCTTTCTCTAAATAACTAGATTTCACTTTGCCCTTTGAATTTTGAAATTCTTAGCAACCGAGTAAACAAGATGAAAAACTAAACTTATATTTCCCAACTAGTCCTGTTCCTATTCCTTCGATGTTTAGCTGTGTGTGTGTTAGCGCACGTGTATGCCTTATCTCGCTCTGTTCATGGGCTCCTCCCGGGGAGTGTTAGCTCTGGCTTCCCCTTCTGTTCCCGGCGGAGTGGTGCAGATTCCATACGTGGCAGTAACAGATGTGGGCATGGGGTTAACATATCCACTGGCAAAGCAGTTAAACTGCTTTAAGCACAAGCCAATAGAGGAAAACTCAAAAGAGAAAATACTGGTTAAAATGGAATATTGATGTATGCTTTTGAAGTATAATTTAATACATTTCTAAATAAATTCTGAAAAACTAATTGAACTTCGAGTGTTTCTGAAAGCAATTACCTGGTTAAATTTAAATATAGTTTATAAGCCTAAAAAGGACTTTTATCAGTAGAAATTCATCTTGAAAGTAAGATTACCTAAGAACATTGTAAAGTATCCAGGGCAACAAAATTACTGGGTAGAATCCAATAATATATTAGCCCTATTTTCTCTTAATATTGCCCTAATACCACCATTTCTCAAACTGTTAAAAACCTATGCCTTCATTATCAATTTAATATTTCTGTACAACCTCAATATGTTTGTCCAACCAGAGACATAGATTCAAGTTAACTGTTAAAAATTCAACCAAGACAAGATGGTCATAAATCCCTTTAGAGAAAAGAAACAAAGTGAAATATTACACAAATAATTCTGGCTTTTATTACTCAAAGATCTGAGAACTTGCTAATAAGTTTTGCAATTTTAACTGGTAGTAAGTAGTAGGACACTTTTTTACCTATGATTACCAATAAGGTGAGAATATGTCACCTTATCAGAGAAAACGTCACCTTATCAGTTACAGTATTCTTTTCCCACAGGAGCTTATTTCTGTAATCTCCAGATCAGACTATAAAACTGCTGCTTTTCACTATAGGGTATTTGTAAATTCAGTTCTGAAATACTGCTGTAGAAAACATTTCCTCTTTGGAACTGAATGTCTAACACTGCTTTAAAACATCTTTGGGGGTTTTTCCCTTCAGAGGATGGATGTATTTATGTTCATGATCTCATACAAAGCTCTTGATTTGATATGGACCTGCAACTCAGTATTCCTTGGGAGGACAAAGCAAACGTTGGTACCATTAGCAGAATGGAAGAAATGTGACATAAAGATACAGCAGAGGGAAAAGAGATTCAGAAAAATCTGATTATTTTCTGTTAGTGTTTTTAAAGAACTTTATGTTTAACTATTCAAAAAGTGGTTTAAATATGAGAAACAAATCTCTACCCCAAAAAGCCATAAAATTTTCAATTATAAAGTAATGAGTCAGCCTTGTAAACAACTAAACCAAAATTTACTGTCTCATGCACTTTGATGGCTCCAGTTAGGCTCACAATTCCCCAATCTGTTAACTTCAATTCAATGTTCTCTCCAAACATAAAACTCCAAGAGTCCATGAAAACCTAAAACTCCAAGAGTCCATGAATACTTCAACTACATGCCCCAAAGGCATGTTGATAATCTTCTTCTCTGAGCCCGTTCTGTTTCCCATGTTTCCTATGTCATGCATGACAACTGAGGCAACGTGGTGCCTCAGTCAGAAAGCACATCTTGCCAGTCTTACTCCCTGAATAGACCTGTTTCTCTCACAGATACTACCACTATCCTAACACAGTTCTTATCATTTCACCCCTAACTAGTGTCCTTGTCACTATTCTCATTTCCCTATAATCCATCTTTTACATGGATTAACAAATGCCAGAATATTTCTTTTAAAATAAAGACCTAACTGCAACATTTCATTTACATTATTTCATTGATTCACTGTATCAGTGATGACAGTCTAAATTCGACATTACATATATTTTTATAATTTGTCTCTCATCTACCCCATCTCATCTTTTGCCCCCTTTCCCCATCCCATACTTACCTCTTTGCAATCTATTCTCTAGACATACCAAACTATCAAGAAATCCCATGAAATTCTCTTATGAAAGCCACTGTACTTTCGTATAAGTTGCCCTACCTGTCTGGATTCCCCTTTCTATAAAAGGTACTCTGCCTGTCTTAATCACACTTTCTCTCACTGTACCCTTTCTTTAAATCATTTCCTGGCTAATTCTAGTCAATTTTCAGGGCATTAAAGGCACCATCACCTCCTAAAAAGATTTCTAGATCTTCCTCCTCACCCAGTACAACCCCCAGGTTAAATCAAGTGTGTTTCTGCCAAACTCCAAGAGCATACTGTGCATACATCACTATGGCACATAGCACTTTCTACTATAATAGCTTTTTTTTTTTTTTTTAATCCTCACCAGAGGACATTTTTTTCCATTGCTTTTCTGAGAGAGTGGGAGGGAGAGAGAGAAAGAGACAGAGAGAGAGAGAAACATCAATGAGAGAGACACACATCAATTGGCTGCCTCTGCCTCCTGCATGTGCCCCAACCGGGGCTGGGGATCGAGCTTGCTACCTAGGTATGTGCCTTTGACTGAAATCGAACCCAGAACCCTTCAGTTCATGGGCCAGTGCTCTAACCACTAAGCCAAAGTGGCTAGAGCCATAGTAGCATCTTTAGTTATCTTTCTCCCGATTACACTATACTTTGGAACGGCATGCCCACTGCTCCTCAGTTTCTAACATAATACCTGGTACATATCAATAAATGTTTGTTGAATGGGTGGATAGATACATGAATGGATTAGTTCCCTTAGAGAGGGGAAAGGCCTTATTCCAATGATGCTGCCTTTGCTTAAGACATTTGCGGAAAACAGTGTTGGAATTGCCTTAAGAATCAGTTTATGAGCTAGAAAAAGGGTATTAATATTTCCCCGCCTTTTTAGCAACGCATTTTATGTTGTTTGAACAACAAAAACTGAGGGATGGAGATTATCATCCAGCTTTATTTACCAGCTCCATGTGCTCTAGTCTCAATGGCTAAGGACAATGTAAAAACATGCATCTAGTTCTGGACACAATTAAAAAGGCAGTTTTAATGGAATAAACATATTGCCTCCCAAGGTGGCTACCTGAAAATATAAGTTCTGGAGTGCTTTTAAGACGAAATCAGTCTCACTGCTTTATTATCATGCTTCACATTTTGATATTTGAATTAGTTATTGCAGTGAATGTTAATCACAAATTGATGAGACAAAGAACACATATTTCTTAAGACTATCCTGAAATATTTCAAAATCAGATTTTAAACTTTCAGCTTTCTAGAAAAATATTTGAGAGAATCCTATTACTTTATTAAGATTCAAGTGCAAACAGTTCTTTTAAACCACAGTTCTCAGAACATACTTTCATTGCCAAACTCTCTCCAATATTCTCAGATTTTTTATCCAAGCATGCTTGCAGGCATTCCTTTTCTTTAGCCAGATTGTTGAGGGTTGCACCAAAAATGCTGATTTCTTCTCGCTGGGCAATACTTTGCCTTGTAAAATTATCTAAATATGTAATCATAAAGGCACTTTTTAATCAAGATCATTTTTTTCCAGTTCAAGCAGATTGAAATACTTTTTAAAGTTTAAGTTCTCCTATATTATATTTAATGACTAAAAATAATTACTGTATCCCAAATAAAAACGTGGCTTTTATTGTTAGTGATTAAAAACTGAGATGAATCATGGAATTCTAAATGACTCATAAATGTAAAGGCACAATTAACACATTTGAATAAGAATAGCAAAGGAAAGCTCTATACTTCAAGTTCTAAAAGTAGATTTACATGTGTGGGGGAGAAGAGTATATAGGTGGATGAAGTTGGGTGGAGTAATAAAACAACCATTTCCCCCCTAATTTCTCCTCCCTCAAGACTAGAATCACTGTTGTATATAAGTTGATAACTGATAGATCTTAATAAGATATTCAATTAAGTTACCTTCAGAGTCAAATATCTTATAACATTCTGATTTTTCTAAATTGTTCTGAATTTTTTCTAAAACTTCCTAGAAAAAAAATCATCCCAGGATGTCTAATTTGATTTGTGAAAACACTGGCAAGTCAATGTCAACGCTGAAGGCCTAAGTGATAGGTATACAATAGCGGTTTTTAAATTGTGGCTTCCCAACCAGCACCATCAGCAATCACCTGGGAACCCCAGCCCTATTGAACTAGAAATTCTGAGTGGACAGAGCAATTATATTTTAGCAAGTACTCCTCCCACGTGACTCTAATGCACAACAAAGCTTGAGAGCCACTTGAGCAAAGTGGTAAAGATATAAAAGCCTTGACCATATCCTATTCCATGGAGCCTGGCTCCAATATCTTTATCAGCTCTCCAGGTAATTCCAACAAACACCAAAGTTTGAGAACCACTGGTCTAGAGCTCTACTAGGGAAGCTCTGCTAGACTAGACCTCTAGGTTAATCCCTGCCAGCAGCCATCCAGTGCAGCACTGAGAGAGGTAATACCATCTGCCAAGAGCATGATCTATAGAGCACCTTTTGCAGACAGTACTATCTTTTAGGCAAACCACATGAGTTGAGTGTTTAGATATCTGAGTTTATTCCCATCGGCATAAGATAAATGCAAAAATGAAGCTCTAAAACAGCTCTAGTAGCTCCTAGCTTGTAAAAAAATCCTCAACCTCACATACCACTCAAGCTACACCCCATTTTTCTGCTACTCTTAGTAGCCAAACTTTTTAAGAGACTCTATTCTCTCCTGTGTCTCCTCCCTCACTCCCCAGCCCTAGACCTATTCCACCTCCATACCCAGCACCCTATCTAGACTTTGCAGGTGGTACTAAAACGTCCACTGGGCCCATCCAACCAGCATTTTTGTTGTTATTGTTAAGCCTCACCCAAGGATATTTTTTCCATTAATCTTTCAGAGAGAGCGGAAGGGGGGGCAGGAGAGAAACATCAACTGGAGAGAGACACATCGATTGGCTGCCTCCACGTGTAGCTGGGGAACGAGCCTGCAGCCCAGGTATGTGCCCTCGGCAGGGCTCTAAGAGGCAACCCTTCCGTCTGGTCTGCTGCGCCGGCACTCTAACCACTGAGCCAAACCCGCCGGGGCCCAATCAATCTTTTCTCATTTTGCTTCTCAAAAGTGTCTGACAATTGGCGCTGCCCTCCTTTTAAAACATTTTGTTCCCTTCCTCCCGAAATAACACTCACTTATGGGTTTTCTTCCTACTTCTTTGGTTTCTTCTTACTCAGTCCTGGATCCTCTTAAATATTCTCTCTGTTTTAAAATGGGCTCTTTTATAGTCCTAATCAAAATTTTACTTTACAGTTATAAAAAGATTAAATTATGACCATAATTTCATAGAGATCACTGGTAAGAAACATAAACTGAAGACTTCATAAAAATAATTTCCTCTATAAATCCAAGAAAGAGCATAGATATAGCCAAATGTATGTACACTTTCCACAAAACATAATATATATGTATGTTTTGTTACAACTATGAACAAGTCATAATATCATACAAAAAGCTGTAAATTTAAAAGTGACCATCATAAAATAGAAAGTGTTGCTGCTTTGTTTATTTCTTCATTGAAAAATATGAAGCCATGTCTAAGTACTTATGGTCCTAAATCTAAGTAAAAAAGTTTGCTATCAATGAAAAACATATTTTTTCATGATTGACTTATAAACTTTTAATTTACAGTCCTATCTCCAAGTTTATCTATGTTATAACTGAAGAGAATAAAACATTTTTCTACCCAACTTATAGAAAAAGTAGTATCAGGAAAAAAATAACTCACCGATATTTTCATTCAAGCACATAATTTTCTCCTGAGTAGGCCGCTGGTCATATTTTTTCTTAGCAAGGTATTGCTGAGTATCAGAAAGATCTTTTTCCATATTTTCATATAAAAATCTGTAAACATTTTAATAAAGCTAATTCTGAAATTATGCTTTATCAATCTTTTAGCATATTTAAATCTAAAAACTTTTAAGGACACCAATAAACACTTTACGTTTAGCATTTTCATTAAACCACATTATAGGAAGTTTAGAAAACAGGGGTACAAAGGGGTCCTCAACCCACACTCCAACATAAGCTACTATTAGCATTTGGGTATTCACTATTCAGTGTTTTTCCATATTTTGTCATATTCAGTGTTATACTTATTTTAAAGTTACCATAGTATAAATTCAAAATTGAATCCTGGTTTTTTTCACCTACGCTTACTATTTAACAATTTTCAATCTATGATACAGTCTGCCAAATCTTCATTTTTCTGGCTGAAAAATATTATAGAAGCAGTAGCCATTTACTTTTGAATAAATATAAACATTTACTTCAGGATTCCTCTATTATTAGACATTTAAGTTCATTTCAGTTTTTCACTATTATAAATAAATTTAATAAACAGCGTTTCATTCATTCCACTTTTATTAAGTGTACAGTATATACCAGGCACTAGGTGTTGAGGAACCTAGAGTCAATTAGATGGGCATTGGCCCTGCCCTCATAGAGTTCCCAGTCAATAAAGAAGTAGCCCAGACTATAATTTCTGACATGGAAACTAGATACTCTGAAACTTCTCTAACATAAAGAAGCACCCTAAAACATAAAGAAGGATCCTTTTAAATATATAGCAAAAGTGTAAGAATTTGTAGGGGAAGTCCCCTAGAGCCAAATTAGAGAAATAAGACTATGAATTGATGTTACGTTAGAGATGGTTGGGGCTTGCCTGTTATCAATAATCTGGGGTCTTGTGTCTTAATTCAGAAACAAAAGATGAGGCCATAGAGGTGTCTGCAGCACAAGTGTTAGAATTCAGATTCCCCACATAAACTCCCTGAGGACTAAAACATAAGTGAAAAAGGCAGACTAGACAAAATCAGCTTGTCAACCAACTATTGCTAGGCTCAGGGTAATAATAAAAACTAAATGTCTCTTTGGGAATTCTTAATCTCAAGACAAGAAATCAAAATAAAATCTGGTTCTAGGATGGTCATATAACCTAGAACACTTGGCAGAAATAAACATAAAACTTCTCTGGAGGGACATGCCTTCAACCCAGGCAAAGAACTAAACCTCAGATAAAGGCGTGTTGAAAATTAGCTCACAATTCAAATTTTAAGAACACACTAAGTAATAACCAAAGCTTAGTGGGAGTCAAAAGTTATACACAGAGTAAATTAGATCTCCAAGAACTTCAGATTGTAGTATTTTCAAACAGAAACTTAAGAACAGTTGTGTTTACATACTAAGACATAAAATTAGTAGAATACAGAATTTCAACAAAAGAATCAGAAGATTTTTGAAAAGAAGCAAAGAAAACTTCAGAAAATTAAACTAAAATAATTGAAATAATCTAAAAAAATATCAATAGGCAAGTTTAAGAAAATGACAGACACAGAGGAAGAGACAATTAGAAAGTTGAAAAAAAAAAGCAGATAAATAGAAAAGCAGATAGATCTATAATAGAGCACAGAGAAAAAAAAGAGAGAGGTTAAGAGACATAAAGAACAAGATGAGAAGGTCTGATATTCACCTAATCAAAATTCCAGAAGGAGAGAATAAACATATTATTCAAAGAAATAATATCTAATATAATATATATCTTAGACTAAACAAGCATCAATGAAAAACCTGAACGTTAACACTAAGGAAACTTAAGTCCTGGGCAGAACCAATAATAAATCTGTATTAATTTTGACCATTATAAATGTAGGAGGGTAGAAAGATTTAAAGGAAGGCAATATTTCTACACTTATAAAAATGTGACACCAATAGACTGTGAAGAGTTCTGTATATATAATGTAATACCTAGAGCAGCCATTGAAAACATCTATAGAGGTATGCAAAGTATTATAGATCAGTCAAAATGGAATTCTAAAAAATGTTCAAGTAAACCCAGAAAGGCAAAAAACAGGAAATAGAGATAAGACAAGGGGAATAGACTAATAATAACAATAATAATAACAACATAGAAGACTTGAGCCCTACCATACCAATAATTACATTAAATACATAGGGTCTACCTTATTTGTAATACCAAAAACTAGAAACAATCAAAATGTCCCTCAAGAGATGAATGGTTAAACAAACTGTGGTGCATTCATACCACGGCACACTGCTCAGCAATAATAAAAGTATCAAATTACTGACACCTGCAACAACTTATATGGATCTCAATGACATTATTCTAAGTGAAAAAGCCTATCTTAAAAGTCACAGCTATGTGATTCCATTTACACCACATTCTTGAAATAACAAAGTTGTAGGGTTGACAAATAGATTAGTGGGTGCTAGAAGTTACGGATGGTTGAGGGAAGGAGGGAAAGTATGGATACAAAGAAGAGCACAAGAGATATCTTTGTGTTAATGAAACAGGGGAATTCTAACTTCTTGGACCTCGAGATGTTTGATGCACGGATGCAGATACATGGACCTTTAAAAAAATAAATAAAATCTGCTTCTAGTAAATATTCTGAGTTATAAACACCCCAGCTATTTATAAGTGTTAATTTATCTGACATGGAAACCCAAACAGGAAAATTCTGCTATTAAAATATACTTGTTTAGAAAATAAGTTTATTTAAGCGGTATAGAAACAGAGATAATGAGTATTGGTTTTGAAATCCTGGGGATTTTGTTCTTTATCAGCAGTGAAAACCAAACAGCAATGGATGCATTTCTTTTTGGGTGATTTGGCCTGGAATACTACACTCAATTTAGAGATACAGAAATCTGGACATGTATTGAACTGTGCTCAGGACTCAACTTCTAATAATGAGAGTTTACACATGGAATAAAATTTATAATTTTCTCATCAGTTGACAAAATGGAGAACAGGAGAACAGGAACAACAGTATTTTAACTAGATTAAATGTAGTTGGATTATATAGCTTCTAAGTAGGTTCTCTGTAATTCTTTGTCTTTTGTATACATAAATATGAAACCTATGATAAATGTGAATGCATTATAAAGATATTTATCTTTAAAAAATAAATTTACAGCTGACTTCTCAACAGAAATAATGAAAGGGGTATCATAAAATTGATAAAATAAAAATAATTCCCAATCTTTAGAATTGTCCACCTAACAAAATATCCCACAATATCAGCAAGATTGGAAGAAGTTGTAGAAATGCTCAGCTTTGCATCCATTTTGAAAACAGAATCAACCATATTGGATATGTGCGCATAAAAATAAAAATCATGGATGACTTCCAGGTTTCAGGCCAAGAATTATATGAACAGAGTTTCCATTTACTGAGATGGAAAAACTGAAAGACGGCGGATTTACTTGTGTCAGAGGGAAAAGGGTAGTGGGTAGCAAAAATGAGGTTTGGAAATGTTAAGTTTGAGATGCCTGTTAGACATCATAGTGAAGATGAAAAGGAGAAAGTTGGATATTAAGGTTCGAAGTTTAAGAGAGGCTACAGATATACATTTGAGAGTCAAGAATAAATACATAAGACTGGCTGAGATCACTGAGGGATGAGTATAGACACAAAAGAGGAAAGAAGAAGCGTAAGGACTGAGTTCAGGAATACTCCCACATTTGGAGGTCACAGACATGAGGAAGTGGCAGGAGACTGAGATAAGACAGCCAAAGAGACAAAAACAAAAAAATCAAATGAGAATATGTCAGAAGCCAAAAGAAGAAAGTATTTAAGTCAGTAGAGCGAGCACAACTGATCAACTTTGTCAAATGTTGCTGACAGGTTAAATAAAATGAAGACTGAGGATCGACCAATGAATTGAGCAGCATGTAAGTAAATATTACCTTTAAAAAAAGTTTTGATAGAATGTTAGGGAGAGAAGCAGATTACAGTAAATTCAAGACCAAACACAAAGTGAGACATTGAAGCCAGAAGTTTAGACAACTCTTTCCATGAAATTCCTGTAAATGAGAAACAAAATTTAAATAACATGATTACAAATCTGAACTAAGGGATAAATGTAAAACACTACCCAACTATTTCCTAATTTATAATTTCTAAAGTATATACAGATCATTACCAAAAATTGAGCATGAAAGTAGAGGACAACAAATTTCATAAATTTAAAGTCTAACAATATGTTCTGAAAAACAATGTAATTAAGCAAGAACTCAATCACAAAAAGATAAAAATTCATTATGTATTTGAATATTTAAAATTGCACTTATAAATAACCAATGGATCAAATAAGAAGTCATAATGGAAATTAGAAAATATTTTATAAAGAAAGAAGTTCATAAAATATGTAGGACATATTCAAAGAAGTATTTTGAGGAAATTTTATGAACTTAAATATGTATATGAGAGAAAAGAAAGCCCAAAAAGTAATAATGTAGGCATTCATCATAAGAAATTAGAAGAAGAAAAAAAAGAAAAGAAGTCTAAAGAAAATAGAAGGAACTAACTAATAAAGGATGAAATAATAAACAATAGGGAAGAGCACCAAAGCAAAACACATTGATCCTCTGAAAGGACTATTAAAAACAATAGACTAGCAAAAGAGGAAATCACTACAGATCCTGTGGACATTAATTAGAATGGTGAAAGGATACTGTAAACAATATTATTCTAAAAATGTTTGTTAATTTAAATAAAATGAACCCATGCCTCAAAAAAATAAATACTGACTAGCATAAGGAGAAATTTCTAATTGTTCCTTTATCCATTAAATCAGGGGAATGTCTGGCCCTCGGGCTGTATTTGGCCTACAAAATCATTTGGTCTGGCCCTGTGCCAAGGCAACCACAGGAGAGACTCGAATATCAATAAATCTAGGAGCTTTATTTATAGCTAATTTTTAAGTTGATAATTTTGTATGGCCCATGAATGATGTTATAAATATCCAAATGGCCCTTGGCAGAAAAAAGGTTCCCCACCCCCTCATTAAATAAATAAAATCATCCCTCAAAGGAAAGTTCTGATGCAAATGGTTTCACTGATAAGTACTAAAACTCCAATATTATACAAATTGTTCCAGGTATTGAAAGAAGATAAAATGAATTGGAAAGATTATCATAAGGCTTACATTACCTTGATACCAAAATCTGATTTTTAAAAGCCCAAATAAAAGCAAATTATTGGCCAATTCGATTATAAAAATAGATGTAAATATCTTAAACAAAATATTAGTTAGCTGAGACCAGAAATCTATAAAAATTATACTATACCCTAACTGATTTGACAAAGAACATCCATTCCTAGGGAAAAAACAAAAAACAAAAAAAACCTCTCAGTAATCTACAAATAGAAGAAAACTTCTTCAACCAAGAAGACATCTATGAAGAATGTACAGCTAATATCATACTAATACTGAGTCTGACTGCTTCCCCCTTAGATGTGAAAAAAGGTCAAGAATGTCCACTTCACCATTTCCATTCAACAATGTACTTGATGTTCTGGCCAGTGCAATAAGGCAAGAACAGGGACAAAAAGCATGTAAAACTGTCTTTATTTACAGATGACCTAATTGTTTATGTAGAAAACTAAATGGAATCGACAAAAAGGCTACTAGAACTAAAGGGTAAATTAGTAAAGCTGTATAATAACAGAAATATATAAAAATAAATTGTAAAACTTCTGGTTTCAGCTCTGACATATGTAAAGAGCTTAGAAAACATCATTCCCATTGTTACAACAAGAAAAAGATTAAACTGAAAATCAAAGACTTTTTGTGAAAACATCAGGGTAGTGAGGTGCCGGATAAACTGGCACCCCAAAATATGAAAAGAAAGGCAAATCCAGAGAGCACAACTGAGGTATGTTTATGTGGAGCCGAAGTCACTGAAATCATAAATGATTAAGAACATTTAAATGATAATTCTGATGCTGAGTGTCATTAACATGAAAATGAGAAGCTCCTAGGGGCCAGAGTCTTAGACATGTCCCTATGCTTCAGTGTGTTTACCTCCAGAAATCCCACTAAGTTCTCACAGTCTGAGACTGTCATAGCCAAGAGAAGCCTAAGGAGACACGACAACTAAATGTAATGTGGTATCCTGGATGGGATCCTGGAACAGAAAGGGCATTAGGGAAAAACAAAAGAAATCTGAATAAGGTATAGACTTTAGTTAATAATAATGTACTAATATTGGTTCACTAATTGTATCAAATGTACCATACTAATATAAGATGTTAATAACAGGAAATTGGGTATGAGGAATGTAGGAACTTTATACTATCTTCACAATTCTTCTGTAAATGTAAAAGTGCTCTAAAATACAAAGTTTATTTTAAAAACAATTGTATTTTCATATACAAGCAATAAACAATCAGAAAGTAAAATTTTTAAATTCCACTTACAACAGCATCAAAAAATAGGAAATACTTAGGGATAAATCTGACAAAAGAAGTACGCTAAAAATTATAAAATATCCTACAGGAAATTAAAGATCTAAGGAAATGGAGAGACATACTGTGCTCGTGAGTGGGAACACTTGTTATTCTTTAGATGTCATTTCCGCTCAATTCCAATCAAATTCCCAAGCAGGCTTTTTTTTTCGTATGTGTGAAGCTAATTCTAAAATTAAAATGCAAAAGAACTAGAATAGCCAAAATAACTTTGAGAAAGAAAACAGTTGGAGGACTAGCACTACCTAATTTGAAGATTTAACACAAAGTAATCAGAAGTGTTGTATTTGGCATCAAGATATATAAATAGATCCATCAGACAAAATAGATAGTCAAGAAACAAATCTATACATATATGGACAATTGACTTTCTACAAAGGTGGCCAATTCGGTGTAGAAAGGATAGTTTTTCAACAAGGTGCTAGAACAATTAGATATCCATATGCAAAAATGTAAACTCTGATCTATATCTAGCACTATATACAAAAATTAACTTGAAATGGATCATAGATTTAAATGTAAGAACTAAAACTATAAAATTGCTAGAAGAAAACATGGGAGAAACATGTTACCTTAAGCTTGATGATTTCTTTAAAAGAACTCAAAAAGCTGGATTCATGTTTTTAAAAATCAATAAATTTCACTTAATCAAAATCAAGAACATATGCTCTTTATTTTATTTTTAAATATATCTTTACTGATTTCAGAGAGAGGAAAGGCGAGGGAGAGAGAGAAATAAAAACATCAATGATGAGAGAGTCATTGATCAGCTGCCTCCTACATGCCCCCGACTGGGGATCGAGCCCACAGCCCGGGCATGTGCCCTGACTGGGAATCGAACCCCGATCACCTGGATCCTAGTTCGATTCTCAACCGCTGAGCCACGCCCGGCTGGCCCATATGCTCTTTAAAACGCAATGTTAAGACAAGCCACAGACTGGGAGAAAATATTTGCAAAACACATACCTGACGATGGACATATCTAAAATACAGAAATAACTTTAATGACTTAATAAGAGTATAAATAACTCAAGAAAAGTGTGCAAAAGATTTGAACAGGCACTAAGGAAGATACATGTATTGTACATAAGCACATGAACAAATGCTTGAAATCTTTAGTCATTAGGAAGGACAAACTGAAATCATACCTAAAACGAAAATACCTAAAATTAAGATACCACACACCAAGTGCTGGTGAGGATATGGAACAACTGGAACATTCATACACTGGTGGTGCAAATGTAAAATAAAATAGTACAACCACTTTGGAAAAGTTATGGTTTCTTCTAAAGTTAAATATATATCCATTATATGACTCAGCTGCTCTCTCTACTCTTAGGTACTTACCCAAGAGAAATAAAAGCATATGTCCACACAAAGACTTACATAAGAACATTCATAACAGTTTTATTTGTTTTACCCCAAATTGAAAATAACCAAAATGTCTATTTGACATATCCATACAATGGAATACTGCTCAGTGATACACAGAAATTAACTCTTGATTATATGTGACAACATAAAAAAATCTCAAAATAATTATGGTGAGTGAAAGTAGCCTGACAAAAGTATACTGTATGACTTCATTTATATATTATTTTAAAAAATACAAACAAATTTCTATGACAGAAAGCAAATCAGTGGTTGCCTAGGGACTAGCAAAGCAGGAACAGGTTACAGAAGGGCATGAGAAAGCTTTCAGGAGCAACGGTTAGGGCTGCTATTCTGATTGTGACAATGGTTTTACAGGTATATACATATGTCAAAAATGACCAAACTGAACACTTTAAATATGTGCTAGTTTACTGCACATGTTTGTCAATTATACTTCAATAATACTATTAAAACAAATGTACACCAAAAAATCTCCAATTATACATTTATCTGTTAGAAAATTTAAGAAACTACTAAAATGCTTTCAAAGAACTTCTAATGACATGGGGAAATGCTAATGGTACACCATTAAGTGAAATTGCTTAAATACATAACTGACTATAGGATGATGGCAATTACATAGAAAGCTTATATACACACATATAAAAATACTTCTGGTTAGAAACAGATCTATATTAATAATAGTTTTCCCTGGGTTATGGAATCATGGGTGATTTAAACTTTCTTTACACTTTTCTCTATTTTCCAAGGTTTTCTTTGTTGATGTTGTTATATTTGATTGTTATTTTTGTTTTACCTAAGGTTGCAATATCCTTTTAAACAGGAAATTGAAAATAAATGAAGAGAAGCAGTCAAGTAGCTTTCTATCCTGACAAGTGATTCCAATGTATGTACCACAGAGTGTTGAAAGATGAAAGAGAAGACTCTGGAAACTCATATGTGAATCAAGTATTATCTGTAACTTAGTCATTTGTTTCACACTCACATGAACTACTATTTTTCAGATGTTCACAGATGCACTGAAAATTCAACCTTCCTGCATCTATAAAACCTTTATTTTTCACATCAACAGGTACTAAAAGGAAAACAAAACCACTAGCATGCAGGTCTTCAAAAACCTATTCCCTTATACTTACTGCCTGTAGGCTGATTTACTGGAATTTCTTCTCCTACCCTATCAGTATGTAGGAAGGGCTAAGCACAGTACCTGACATTCAATTAATAAGTTCTAGTACATGTTCCTATTATTCTGCTATGACTTTTTATTATATTCAAAACCACCCTTTTTCTAAGCTACTATAAAACCTGTGCTTTATGTATTCTTACACTGTTCAGACCCCAGAACATAATTTAAGTTATAAAGGTAAATTAACAATCAAATACCAAAGTCAAACATGCTCTGTACCAAGAATATTTTTGTTAAACATTGAGGCTTTCTGCAAACATAAGATTGAGATTACTAAAAGTTTGAGTCCTGGTTAAGTGTGGCATTAACAATCTGTGATCGATCTTGGGGGAATCATTTAATGTGTGCTGAGGTTCCTACAACTGTTTTGTAATAACCCTCCCCAAAATTAAAGTCAACAAATAACTTAATTATCATTATAAAAAACACTACAAAAAGCAGAGTTATTTATAATAAACTATTAGTTGTGCAAAGGCTAATTGGTTTACCTCAAAGAATTATTCTCTGCTTTTTGTTTGCCAAGTTCACTTTTGGAATCTATTGCCTTTCTTGCTAGTGATTTCATTTCTTTTTCCACAGTGGTTATGGTTTTCTTCATCAAAGTCATATTTGACATTTGCTCCATACATTCATCATCATGCTATACAAGTAGAATGACAAGATTACTGCCATCACTAAAAAGTCTTAGTGATCTTCCTAAAGAGACGCCTTCTTTTTGTAAAAACTAGTATATGACAAGATTTATAGGATGAGATGATCAGATTAGACTTGAACATTGTGGGAGGCTGTATGGACAAGATATTGTGGAGTAGGAACAAGAATAGTATATCCATCTATATTTTCAATCTGGTTCAATTTGACTTTAGCATACATACCCTTTTGGGAAAAAAATCCTTATTTGTTGCCCAACATTAACAAATTATAGCTCTAAAGTGGAATTTTTTTCCCCTATTTTTTTTTAACTCATTATGTTACCAGAGAGTCTCCCTCATTGGCCAAAATGGCACAGGAGGAAGTTCTTACACTGAGTAGCCAAAAGCTAGAAAGATGAATGGATGGGGCCCAAGCATGCCAAAAGCTATCAAGATAATTGTATTAAAAAAAAAGAGCCCTCCCCTCTTTATTCCTATAAGAACCACAGGCTTGAATAGGAAGGGAGATTTGAAATGGGAGTCTGACATTCTCCCAGGCCATGTGGCTCCTGAAGAAAACCTCTTTCCTTTTGCACCAGCACAGGCCTCACAAGTTTGGCTTTCATTGTGTCAGGCAGCCGAACCTCCATTTTTTTGTTCAGTTACAATTATATCAACATAATATATTAATTAATTTTGGTAACAGAAAGTCAAATTCTCTTAATTCTGTTTATATAGTAATAACATCTCAAATATATATCCATAACATCTCAAATCCTTGGTTAGTAAAAAAGGTGGTGCTTCACATTTAAATTCATTTACATATATTTTTCTCATTATTTTCATTTCATCATAATTTTTTTCTACTCTAGCTACTCTTTAGTTAGAATAATTGAGTTTCCCTGTATCTGGCAATGTTATCTTTAATGAAATAGGGAAATGAAAAATTTGCTAAAATCCCTGAGAATGCATCCCTAATGTCTTTTTAAAAAAGAACACACTTTGCAGCCTAACATAAAAAATATTTTACTCACATTTTTGGAAGGAAATAAACAATGAAGAATTAACAATTTACACCATATATTCCACCTTAAATATTTTAGGATTACAAACCTTATCTTAGAAAAATAAAAGAACTTCTCCGAACATAGACAAAAAGGAAAAGGGGAAAGCCACTGACAATTTACAGCCAGAAGTGCAAAAGTGATTTTTCTTTACTTTAGGAATTATACATGCCAGCTCCTCTGTTCCAAGTGAGCCTTTTCATTAAATGCTGTCTCTTGGGCAATATAGTAAAACAACAACAAAAACAGTGCTTTCAATGTCACTGCATTGTGTTTCACAAATGTTCATAAAGATAAAATTCTTTCAAACCTTTAGCCTTTCCCTCAGATTATCTCGTTCTGTGGTCATTCTTCGTAAATCAGTGAAGGCTACATCTCTTTCAGTCTCCACCCGCCAGTGGATGGCACGTGCTGTTGTTGTTTTAGGAGACTGACAGCTTTTCATCATTTCTTGTCGAAGTTGAGCAATTTCTTCCTGTGCCTATTATTTAAATAGATAGCCTCCTATTTAACAAGCTCTAGAACAAACATAAATTCAAACCTATTATCAATATGCATGGAGTAAGATAATGGCATAATTTTGACTTTATACAAATAAATGCAAATGATGTCCCCCAAAATGCAAATAGATATATACAAATAGAAGTTTGGTTTACAATATCTTTGCCAAAAAAATTTTTAAATAAATTTGGAGGTGGTCAAAGCAAGATAAAAATGATTTACTAGATAATTTATATAGTATACTTCATTTTCTGATACAAACATGAATTCAGCGCAATTCAGGAAGAATACTGGTTTAATAAATATTATCATAGTGTTCTAGTCTTTCTCTACATAAATGTACATGCCATAGTCATGTCCTAGCTACCTTTACCCTGATAGAAAGGCCCACCAATCCTTACTGACAGCCCAACATGCTCTCTACATACTGTTCAACCGTCCTCGGTTTCAAATCTACTCTACATCTGCAGATGATCATATCCTACTTTGTGGCTTAAGTCCTTAGCTTCCTTCCTCTAGATTATAATCACCATCTATTCAGCTAGTCTTCAAATCTCAGAGGAAGACATGTTACTTCCCAATTCCCAAAGCTAAGCCTTCACCAGAATCTTGGACTTCATCTCCTAAAGTGTCTTCTAAGATATCCCTGATTCAATTATAATTATTTCCTCACTTTGAATAGCACTCTCTCCACTGGCTCTTTCTCCCGACTTCAGCCATGCACAGGATTTCCATATCTTGAAAAACTGTCACTTAATCCTGTTGTGTCCATTTACCATCCTATGACTCTTTTTTTCTCTCTTTTAAGTGTCTGCACCATGGCCTGTTCCTTACTACCCACTTTCTCATCCCAGGGTGTGGTAACCTGGCTTTCACATCCACCTCTTTGCAGAATTACAGCTAATAACCTCACCAAATCTAATGGCCTTTTCTCAGTTCCAGTTCTTGATACTTTGACAACATTTGACATTGTTTTCAACTTCTTCCTTAAAATTTCTTCCTTCCTTGGTCTTATAACATTGTTCTGCCTTAATTTCCTGTCTTCTTTCTCTCTTTCAAAGGTTCCTCTGCCAATTGAATAAAGCTTCCCAAGATCCTGTACTTTTGCATTCAGAGACCTCATTCACTCTGAAGGCCCAAAAGTCACCTCTAAGCAGGTGACTTCTAAATCTACATATACAGCTCTTGCTTTTCTCCCCACTCCAGTCCCACATTTCTTACGGCCTGATGGCAACTACAACCTGTGAATGTACTCCATCTTTCTGAAACTAAACTCATCTTTTCTGTCAAATCACCAATGACTTTCCTCATTCTTTTTCTATTACCACAATTCTTCAGGCAGTCAAAACAGAATGTCAAACATTTCCATTCATCTCTCCTTTGTGCTTGAATCAAATCTTGTCAAGTCTTCTTTGATAGCATCCTAGCTTAGTCCCTTAATGCCTCATGCATGGACTACTGTAACAGCCTTCTAAAGAGTCCATGTTTTTTCCCTCCTCCGGTTCTCTTGAAGGAGAAATTGTTATATAAAAAGGTAATACATAAAGATGTATGAAATAATATAAAATTGTTACCAGGTTGAAATTGTAAAAATGTGGCTTTGGTCTTATTTCTTCTGCTTTAAAATTATAAACTGCCCATTGCTTATAAAGCAAAGTACAAACCCTTTGTAAGGCCCAGTGAACAGCCTCCACCATACAGTCCAGAAGCTGCTAAACCACACTGGCTCACAGGCCAAATCCAGCCTGCCAACTGTTTTTTGTAGGTCTATAAGCTGATAATGTTTTTTACATTTTTAAATGGTTGGGGGGAAAAATCAAAAGAATAAAAATATTTCATAACAGGTAAAATAATGTAAAATTCAAATGTTAGTGTTCATAAATAAAATTTTATATTGTAACACAGCAAACTTACTCATTTGTATATTGTCTATGGATGCTTTCTGTGCCATAGAAACAGAGCTGAATAGCTGTTGACAGAGATCACATGGCCTGCAGAGCCCAATATTTATTAACTGGGCCTTCAAGGAAAAAGTCTGCAGTCTCCTGCTCTACCTCTACCTCTCAAGCCTCAGTGCCCCTTCCTCCACTGACACACACCTTCGACTCTAGTGTTTAGCTGATCCACTTATCTGCTGACTTTTCCTGTCTATCGTTTGCCTCACACCATTCCTTCAGTCCTAAATGTTCTTTCATACCCCTTTCGAGATAATAGAAACCCCATTCATCCACCCCTCAGTTCTCAAACTCTACATCGTCTAGCAAAGATTTTCTTGATCACCATAAATAAAAATGTCCACTTATTTTCTTTTTACAGTATCGTCTGGCCTATTTATGAACTAATGCACACAGGCTTCTCATTAAGAGACTTTCCTGCCCCTTAGCGGTCACGGTCTTATAATCATGAGTACATACACTGACTTAGGTTTCATGGCACAGACACCAGGGAGTTCTAATCAGAGCAAAGCAATTACTCCACACACTTAGAAGTGGTAGTCACTTTTTAAACTGCTCAAACTAAAAATAAGAAAGCTAGTTATAGAAGAGAATATTATCTATCACTCATTACATAGCTAATATAATGTTTAAAATCTCATTAAAACGCTGCTGAGAAGAAATTATCAAGATTGAGATTACAGTGTGAAAGAAAACAGTACTGTGATGTGATTTAGCCAAAAGGATTCCATGCTATGACATACACTGGGCATTTACTTTACATATTAAGATGTATGCCGAGACTGTTCCATTTCCATATAGGCCAATACATCTTCAACAAGCTTAATTAAATAGCAAAGAGCAGACCCAAACAGGAGTCAGAACATCTGTACTATGAATATTGCTGTTCTTGGGCAAATCAGTTAGCCTTATTAGACCTGCCTTCTCATACATGAAATGAAGCAAAGAGGCCATATAATCATGATATCCAAAGTTGCTTTAGTTATTTAAAAACAGATAATTAAGGTTGACTTCAAACTAAAATAAAATCCATTAAGGTGAATTTTAAAACTAAAATTAAAAAAGAAACCAACAAAACAGAATCTGCATCCTATCATTTTTCTCTCAGAGTAGCATGCCCATAACCCTGCAAAGTTGTTATAATTCTTAATAAGATTTGATATTCTAAATGAAACTATGTTGGTAATGTATGGGGTTTAATATTTGTTGAGTAAAGAAACTAATTAATTTTAAGCTAAAAATTGAGATAAACTACAAACTGATTTTACTCTCTGAAATTAAACAAATTATATGGCAGTTTCTAAAGTGATTGATAGTACATCAAAATGATGTGTTAGTATTTTTTTAATCCCCAAACCCAAATCTTTTTACCTTGAACTCACTATATCCTTTCATTTAACATTTTCCCCATTTCCTATTCCAAAAACCAGACTATCTCTATGCATGTATATGACCTTTTATGGGTATGGGAATAACACACATGTGTGTGTACACATATACTGTATTTGAAATATATTACATTTCATTAAAAATATCTTAAGAGCAAAGTTAGTTCCCAAATGGTAGTTAAATTAATTTGATTGGCAGATTTAAGCATAGCTAAAGAATTATATATCTCTAGAATAAACTGTTATTACTTACATATTTTGTTTCCTTAAGACAACTTTACCTGTTCATAAAGAAGAAAGGTCTGGTCTCTTTCAGATGTAAGAACCTTGATATTACCCTGAATTTCTGCCAAATGACGCTCATATTTTTCCAGCACGCATTTAAGTTCTTCATGGTCTCTTGTCTTCAAAAGTTCTACATCACAGTTTGTACCCTGTAATTATTATATAAGAAATTTGAAGTTCTTCTTTGACCTGTAGTACAAATAGAAAAGTACTACTGATGGCAGTACAGTCTCTACTTAAGCAAACATGACTATATAATGAAAGGAAATGATGAAAGAAAGTTTAAAAATCATTTCTCTTTTAAATTTTTATTGACTGATTTTAGAAAGAGAGAGGAAAAAAGGGAGGAAGGAGGGAAAGAGGGAAGGAGGGAGAGGAAGGGAGAGGGAGAGAGCGAAAGAGCGAGAGAGCGAGAGCGAGAGAGCGAGAGCGAGAGCGAGCGCGAGCATTTATTTATGCATTCATTGGTTACTTCTTGTATGTGCCCTGACAGTAGATCTAACCCACAACCTTGGAGTATCAGGACGAGGCTCAAACCAACTTAGCTACCCTACCCTGCCCAGGCCAAAGTCACCTCTCTTTTAAACAGCTTCATCCCAAACTGCTCCACATTTGTCTGATTACCTCCCAACCACAACTGATTCTGGGGATAAAGAATCAATGTTGATGATCCATCAAAGAGACCTGTCTTTCAGTCTCATTAATATACCAATTCATGCCAATCAACCTGAATTATTTCCAAGTAAATCAAAGACTAAAAGTCAGTGTTTGAGCAACAAACTCCAAATATTTATAATTTTCCAAAAACCTACCCAGGAAGATGGAGAGGGGTGTCTTGGGCTTTCAGATCTACTTCTAATCATCTTTCTCAAGTTTTGAGCTTCACTCTTGTAGTAATCTCTGTCTGCTTCTAAATTCTTGACAAAGGAATCAAGTCTGGAAGGAGATTTATTTTGTGCTTTTTCAATCTCTAAAATTACCTTGCCAGGGAGGAAAAAATTAGGCCATTATTTCAAGCTGAGCTACAGCATCATTTACTACATGAAGCTGAACACAAAAAGAACTGTTAAAAACAATAAATGTGGTGTTCTGAAAATAACTTTTAAAAAATCATACTTTTAAGAAAGCAGTTACATCTCTTTCTTTTATTTTTTTTTAAGATATCTTTATTGATTTCAGAGAGAGGAAGGAAGAGGGAGAGGGAGAGAGAGAAACATCAATGATGAGAGAGTCAGCATTGATCGGCTGCCTCCTGCATGCCCCCAACTGGGGATCAAGCCCACAACTTGGACATGTGCCCTAACCGGGAATCGAACCTTGATCTTCCGGATCCTAGGTCGATGCTCAGCTGCTGAGCCACACCTGGCTGGGCTCTTTCTTTTCTTGCAGTACTGAATGTTCTATATTTTTATTTAACTAAAAGTACTCCTAAATTTGCTCAATAATTTTGCAGAAAAAAATGGTAAAGAAATTTCAGAAGCCAGAAATGTCCACAGATCTAGTTGCTTCTATTAGTTATTTCTATTAATTCTAGAAATAAAATTAATTTACTTAGAATAACTTGTATAGATCTAAGTTTTGTTCACTAATTATTCAAGGAATGAATAATTTAAATGAATGCTGGAAACATTTATTTTACGACATTTATTTTACCAAAGCAATATTAGGAGGAAATGACAGATATACTTACAGAGAAGGTGTTTCAAATATTTTAAATAATAGTATTAAAATGTCTAAATAGAGCAGTTTTCATTTCACATTGTTGGATAAGAAAAAGATATTACTGCCCGGCCGGGCGTGGCTAAGAGGTTGAGCACTGACCTAGGATCCAGGAGATCATGGTTCGATTCCCAGTCAGGGCACATGCCCAGGTTGCAGGTTCGATTCCCAGTGGAGGCGTGCAGGAGGCAGCCGATCAATGGTGACTCTCTTAGCACTGATGTTTCTATCTCTCTCCCTTCCTCTCTCTGAAATCAATAAAGATATATTTAAAAAAGAAAAAAGATATTACTTAGAATTAAAACAACAAAGTTTGACCTACAGATATTTATTACTAAGAATACAAGTTAATGTGTAGACAAACTCATATTTTGAGTTACTCAGTTATATTACTCAGTTATCATTTTAAGTCAATTAACAGCTAAGGGCATTAATAAAACTAACCAAAAGCTCTCTCCACCTCTAGGAGAGAAATGAGTAATGATGAAATGGAGCAAGAATAGCATTGCTCGTATAGATGGGAGCACCCTTGTGCACCAAGCAGAGAGGGCTGATTATAGAACACAACATTTTTTATTGTTCACAAAATTCATGAGAGTCAAAACATATGTTCAATTTTTTATAGTTTTACTATACTAACAAAATAAAAATTATTCCTTAACATATATTTGATAAAAATGTACTTACAGATCTAAGTCTTTTTATTGTATCTTCCAATACAATCATATTATTTTGCTGTCAAATGAATTCAATCTGAAAATCAAGCCAGAAAAAAATTATTTGGATTTTAAATGTTTAAGCTGATTTAACTGGAAAGAGAACATAAAAAAAGTAAGCCAGTAAGCCACTTAAAAATAAAAACATGCAAACAGTGAATATTTTGCAAAGAAAAGATACTCTACCTCTTTATGTTTACCTGTGACGGTAAAAAAAATATATATATGATGAAATATAACAGTTCCTTTAAATTATCTAATGTTTTGTATAAAATATTGATTATATTTTACCAAATTACTTCCTACAAACAGGAAAAAAATGTTAATACTTATTATAATCCTGAAGATTATAAAAGCTTTCCCAAACCACTATAGTCAGAAGTGATTTTCTTCTGAACTCTTGTAATAGTTTAGTTCAATCCAACCCTCAAAAACTGTTTGTATCAGTTTTATGATATAGAACACACCCAGTCTTACAGTATAGCTGCCCATAGTTATATATTTAGTATATGACTAAATTGTATGTTCCTAGAGGACAGTGACTATGTTTTTATGCAAAGCTGTAAAGCTCTTCGCTAAAAGTTGTCAAGTTAGCCTTAGCTGGGTAATTCAGTTGGTTGGAGCATCGTCCCAATAAGCCAAGGTTGCCGGTTCAATCCCTGGTCAGGGCACATACAAGAATCACCCAAAGAAGGCATAAATAAGTGCAACAACAAATCTCTCTCTCTCCCTCTCTTTCTCTCTCTTCCTCTCTCTAAAATCAATCAATCAAAATTTAAAAACATACATATTAACAAAGAGGACCACCCATTCTTGGCAGGTTATTCTGAGTGGCTACTAAACATTTATCAAAAGCTATGCTCTAAACACATTACATGGATAAAAGTTGGCAAATTAGTTTAATAAATTTATTTTTCAATTAATAAACCTCTCCTTTGTTATTCTAAACTAAAATGTACTATATTTTAAATATATTGAAAATATAGCACATTTAAAAATTACATTTGACCAAAGTACTTTTATAAGATTTCTCTGGCAATTTTTATGAAATATTAAGGGGTGTTATAGTATGAGACATAGCTTATGTATAGTTTGGATAAGCTCATATATAGTTATTTGGGTAGACAATTTTCAATGCTTTAATTTATACTACTGTGTAGAAACTTAAAAAATGGATATACAGGGGTGGGCAAAAGTAGGTTTACATTTATAATACAAATAAATAATACACCAATTAATAATAACTGTTTTGTGTTCTCACAACTGTAAACCTATCTTTGCCCAACCCATATATTGAATTTTATGTGTAAAGATTTCCATACTACATTAGTATAAAAACTCAACATGCCCTAAAATTTTATTTAGTATGATACATTCTTGTAAAAAATAAATTTATACACAAATATCCTAGATGAAATAGAAGAAAACTAATAATATATAAACTGAGAAAGATGGATTATGTCTAGCTATAGCAAAGTATGATTATGGTAGACATTATTTTATATAGACTGAAATTTTTAATAGACATTACTTTACATATAAAAACACACAATGCTGATTCCACTCTGAAAAACTGGCCCAAGTGAAAAGATGCTAATCAAGTGTGTTCATTTATTTGACAATTGTTTAATGAGGACCTACTATGTGCCTGACCTTGTGTTATATACTAGGTATGGAGGTGAATATAACAGACAAAAGCCTCTGCCCTCACAGAGCTGACATTCTAGTTGAAAAGAGAAAAACAAAATATATTAGGTAAAATATATGTCCGATAGTGACTGTGTCATTAAAAATATATATAATGAGCACTCAAATCTGTTCTAGGCACTTGACATTAAAAAAGTGAACAAAGCACACCAAGATCCCTGCCTTTGGGGATATTATATTCCAACTGGGTAGACAATAAAAAATAAACTCAACAAATAAATTATGTAGTAAAATAGAATAAAAAAAGCAGAATTAAGGATATTGGGAGTATTTATAAAGGAACAGGCTGGAATTTTAAATAGGGTAATTGAAGAAGTCCTCATTGAAAGGAGCCCTTTGAGCAAGACTTAAAGGAGAGAGAGTGTCAACTATATAAAAATCTGGGAGAACATTCCAGGTAGAAGATACAACCTGTAGGAAAGATCTTAAGGCAAAAGATGTGTGCTAAATTCCAAGAAGTAGTAAGGAGGCTAGTGTGGCTGGAGTGAGGGAGGAATAAAGTAGTAGGTAAATGTTACAGAGAAAAATAAAGCAGGGGAGAGTGAGTAGTGGGACAACATCAAGTGTAAAAACATCCACATCATATGGGTATCAGAAATAGATAAAGTGAGCAAAGGATAGAGAACCTGTTTGAAGATATAATGGCAGAAAACTTCCCTAACCTGGTGAAGGAAAAGTTACACATATTGAGAGGTCATGTTTTCTTATCCATTCAGCTATCCTATATCTCTTGATTGGAGCACTGAATCCATTTAAGGTTACTATGGATAGGTACTTCTTTATTGCCATTTTTTCTTTATGCCTATGTTTCTCTCTCTCTCTCCATTTCCTCTTTTTAAAGCAATCCCTTTACATTTCTTGCAATGCTGGTTTACTGGTAATGAACTCCTTTAGTCTTCTTTTGTCTGGGAAGCTCTTTATTTCACATTTTATTTCAAATGAGAGCTTTGCTGGATAAAGCAGTCTCGGTTGCAGGTTCTTGCTCTTCATTGCTTTAAATACTTCATGCCAATCCCTTCTGGCCTGAAGTGTTTCTGTTGAGAAATCAGCTGAGAACTTTATGGGAACTCCCTTGTAGGTAAATAAATGACCATTTCTCTCTTGCTGCCTTTAAGATTTTCTCTTTGTCTTTAACCTTGGCCATTTTAATTCTGATGTGTCTTGGTGCGGATCTGTTTGGGTTCATCTTGATTGGAGCTCCTCGTGCTTCCTGAATTTGTGTAACATTTTCCTTCACCAGGCTAGGGAAGTTTTCTGTCATTATTTCTTCAAACAGGTTCTCTTTCTCTTGCTTGCTTTTTTTCTCCTTATGGTGCCCCTATGATGTGGATGTTATGTTTATCGGTGTCCCAAAGTTCCCTTCAACCATCCTCCTGCTCTTTTTTTTAAGAATAAATTTTTAGAGAGGGAGGAAGAGAAATGTCATTGTGAGAGCACAACATCAATTGGCTGACTTCTGCCACCCACCCACCCACAGGGGATTGAACCCACAACCGAGCCATGTACCCTGAACAGGAACTGAATCAGCAACCTTTCAGTGCATGGGATGATGCCCAACCAACTGAGCAGTATCAGCCAAGGATCCTCCTGCTTTTTAATTATCTTTACTGCTCTGATTTTTTTTCTATCTTGTCTTCTCATTTGTTAATTTGATCCTCTGCTTCATCCAGCCTACTTGTTATTCCTTGCAGTACTGTATTCTGTATGTCAGATATAGCATTCTTCTATTTTTTGTGGTTTCTATGTCCTTTTTCATGCTTTTGAGCATCCTTATAACCATTACTTTGAGGTCTATTTCTGATAAATCACCTCCATTTCATTTAGTTTTTTTCTGGAGATTCCTCCTTTTCTTTCACTTGGGGCCTGATTCTCTATTTTGGCTGTCTCTCTGTGTTTGTTTCTATGTATAAGATAGAACTGCTATGACTCCTAGTGTTGGTGGGGAGGCCTTCTGTGGGACCTAGTGGTACAGTCTCCTTGATGTCCTGAGCTGGGTGCTCTAGCTGTGTTGATTCTGAGTCCTCATGTGTGGGTTTCAGATGCAGGGCACTGTCAGATGTTGTGTGTAACTGGCCTTGGGCTGTCTATAGCTACCACTCTGCTCTTAGTTTATGTGTGCACCTACTAGACCTTGGGGCGGGGGGCAATCTGTATAAATGGGTGGACTTCTTCCAGCTTAGAGGTCAGGGCAGATCTGTGGTCAGACCAACGCTCCCTGAGGTCCCCCTCCACCTGTCAGCTATTCCATCTCCCCCCTGAGGTTGCCTGGTCTTCCTGAAGAGCCTTCTGAAGAGGGTCAGTAGGATTAACCCAGGCTAGCCTAGCTCGGGCTAGTGGGCTCCCTGCTTGGGGATTACACAGTCAGGCACTCAATGAGGGAAAATTAGTGCCTGCTTCAAAGCCAAACTCTTCAGTCTCTGCCAGAGTCTCCGACTCTAGTCCCACTAAGGGGGTTTGCTGCAGGGTACAGCCTGAAGTCTCCTCTGCAGGAGCAGGTTCAGTTGCCCTGGGCTCAGGGGGGTAGATTTACATCTAATGATTCCATTTTCTATTTGAGTAATTGTAAACAGTATTGCAATTTAATTTTGATTGCCACATGTTAATTGCTAATATATAGAAATGTAATTAATATGTTTGCCTTGTATTCTGACCTTGCTGAAGTCATTTATTAGTTCTGGTTTTGTTACTGCAGATGTTATTAAATTTTCTAAGTAGATAATCATTTCATCTTCAAACATGGAAAGTTTTTTTCTTTATTTCAGGTCTATGTACCTTTCAACCTAGTTATATCATTATACTGAAAGGTAATTTCTTGTAGACATCATAAAGCTAGGTCACGTTTTCTAATCCACTCCACCAGTTTCCATCTTTTAATTGGGTATATTTAGACAATATGTATTTAATGTAATTACTCTTATGTTATGATTCAAGTTGTGACTTTGTTGTTCATTGGTTTTGTGTGTTTTTGTTTAGTTTTTCTTGCCTTCCTGTGGGTTATTTGAACATTTTTTAGAATTCTGTTTTGAATCTACAGTGATTTTAGTACATATCTCTGTATGGCTTTTTAATGGTTGCTCTAGATGTTACATTATACATTTGTAATTTTTCAGTCTACTTTTCCCAGTTAAAGCGAACTGTAAAACCTTACCACCTCCATGTCTCTTTACCTTCCTCTATTAATAAAATAATTGTCTTAAATATTTCCTCTATATGCATCAAGAACTACATTTGACAAACCTAATTTAGAAAACTAGAAAAAAAAAATCTACTGCATTTACCCCTATTTTTGCTCTAAATGTTGTTCTTCCTTTCCTTCTATTCTTCCAAGATTCCTTCTTTTATGCCTTTTGCCATTTTTCTTTTCAATCCTCACCTGAGGATAAGTTTTTATTGATTTTTTTTCCTTTTTTTAAGAGAGAGAGAGGGAGAAAGAGAAAATTGATGTCAGAGAGAAACATGGATCAGTTGCCTCCCACATGGGCCGATTGAGAATTGAACCCACCAACTTTTGGTGTAGGGGATGATGCTCCAACAGAGCCACCAGCCAGGGCTCCCTATTTTTTTAGGGCAGCTTTACTGGCAACCAATTCTTTTCGTTTTCTTCATCTGAGAATGTCTTGATTTTCCCTTCATTTTTAAAGGATACTTTCGTGGAAACAGAATACTGGGTTGACAGTTCTTTACTTCCAGTACTTGAAAAATGTTGTGCCACTTCCTTCTGACCCCCATGTTTTCAGATCTGCTGTCATCTGATATTCCCCTCTAGGTAATGAATTGCTTCTCTGGTTTCTTTCAGCAACTTTTTTTCTGTCTTTAGTTTTCACAAGTTTAAATATTAAGTGTATTGGCATGGGTTTCTTTGGAAGACTCCCGGTAGGTATTCACTCACCTTCTTCAATCTGTCTTACGTCTTTTTCCAAATTTGGGGAATATTTAGCCATTACTCCTTCAAATACTTTTTCAGCCTCACTCTTTCCTACCTTTCTTGCTGCAACTACAATGATCCAAATGTTGTATCTTTTGCTATGGTTCGACCTGCTCTGTTCCTGTTCATTTTTCAATTTATTTTCTCTCTGTTGTTCAGGTAATTTCTATATTTCTGTTCGCATGTTCATTAACTCACTCCTCTCTCCTGTGTATTTTGTTGTTTGAAAACACTGAATTTTTAATTTCAGTTACTGTATTTTTTAACTATTTTTTATTGTGGTGAAATACACATACCATAAAGCTTACAATTATAATCATTTTTTGTATACAATTCAGTGGCATTAATTATATTCATAATGTTGTGCACCCGTTCCATATCCACTCCCAGAACTTTTTCATCATCTCAAACAGAAATTCTGTACTCATTAAACAAAACCCATGAATTTTCCTATTCTAGGCACCTCGTGTAAGTGGAATCACAATATTTGCCCTCCTTCGCCTGCTTATCTCACTTAGCATGTTTCCAAGGCACATCCATGTTGTAGCATTGTATCAGAATTTCATCATTTTAAGGCTAAATAATATCCCATTGTATGTACTACTTACTACATTTCATCTATTCATCTGTTGATGAATATGGGTTGTTCCTACCCCTTGCTGCTTTGAATGCCGCTGCTATGAACATTGGTATACAAATATCTGTTTGAGGACCTGCATTTAATCTTTTGAGGATATACCTAGGAATGGAATAGCTAGGATCATACTATAAATTCTGTATTTAACTTTTGAGGATCTACTAAACTTTTTCAACATGGCTGTACCATTTTTACATTCCTACTAGTAATGTACAGGGCTCTAGTTTCTCCACATCCTCACCAATACTTGTTATTTCCTGGGGGGAGGAGTGGTGCTTTGTTTTGATAATAGCCATCCTGATGGGTATGAAGTAATATTGTGGTTTGAATTTGCATTTCTTTAGTGGTTGGTGATGTTGAGCATCTTCTCATGTGCTTATTGGCCAATTGTGTTTCTGGGAGAAATGTCTATTCAAGCCCTTTGCCGATTTTTAAACTGGGAATTTTTGTTGTTGAGCTGTAACAGTTCTTTATATATCTGGATATTAATCCCTTATCAGATACATAATTTGGAAATATTTTATACTATGCATTTTTAATAGACTTTGTTTTTTAACAGGCATTTTTAGGTTTACAGAAAAATTGATCAGGAATTAGAGATTTCCCACATATCTTTTGTAAACCCCTCGCCTCCCCAAACACATTCAGTTTCCCCTCTTACTTACATCTTGTAATAGTGTGGTACATGTTACAACTGATAAACCAAATTGATACATTATTAACTAAAGTCCATAGTTTACATTAGGGTTCATTCTTTGGGTTGTAGATTCTATGGGTTCTGACAAAGATATGATGACAGTATTCATCATTATTGTATCGTACAGAATAGTTTCATTATCCTAAGAATCGCCTGTGCTACATTCATCACTCCCTCCCTCTAAATCACTGGCAACGCCCAGCCGGGTATGGCTCAGCGGTTGAGCACTGACCTAGGATCCAGGCGATCGGGGTTTGATTCCTGGTCAGGACACATGCCCGGGTTGCAGGCTGCAGCTGATCAATGACTCTCTCATCATTGCCATTTCTATCTCTCTCTCCCTCTCCTTTCCTCTCTCTGAAATCAATAAAGATATATTTAAAAAATAATAATTAAATAAATAAATAAATAAATAACTGGCAACCAGTGATCTGTGTCTCTGTTTTATCTTTTCCAAGTAATATAGTTGGAATCAGAGTATATAACCCTTTCAGATTGGCAATACGCTTTCAAGGTTCCTTTATGTTTTTGTGGCTTGATAACTCATTTCTTTTTATAGTTCCATTGTATGGATGCACCAGTTTGTTTATTCATTCACTTACTGAAGAACTTAGTTGCTTCCAAAATTCCATTGGGCTCTTCTTTTTATCTTTAAGTCTTTGCTGAGATTTTCTATTTCCTTTAGTGTGTGTCTCAGGCATGCCCAAAATTGCTTGCTGAAGCATTTATAAGATGTCTGATTTAAGATAATTGTAATGTCTAATTCACCTCTGTGTTGGCATATCTTGATTGTCCTTTCTCATTGAAATTGAGATCTTCCTAATTCTTAGGATGAGGAATGATTTTTAATTTTTATTGAAACTTGACATTCTAAGACTCCAGCTGCTGTTTTAGTAGGCTTCCTGTGACATTGCTCCAGCTAGAAAAGAGGAATACTGCCTTGTTTCTGCTAGGTGGGATGAAGTCCAATTTCTACTCGAGGCTTCCATGGACATCTAGAGAAGGTGAGGCTTGCTGTTATTCCTAGGCAGGGATGGAAGTTCAGGCTCCTTGCTAGGCCTCTGCTGATACCTCGCAGCTAGGAAGATCAAAGGTGCCTTGTTACTGCTCTTATGTGTCCTCCACTGTGGGGGGTGGACTTGTTAATGCTGGGTTATGGTAAAAGCCCTAACTCTGCAGTATGTCTCCTCTGACATCACTCCAGCAAGGAGGAAAGGGGACACCTCTTACTACCATGTGGGGATAGATGTGTAGGCTCCCTGTGTGGTTTCCACTGACAGTGCAAAGTTGGGAACTTCCCTTACTGCCTTGTGGGTACAAAAGTCTTGGTTCTCAACTCAGCCTTCTTCGATACCACCTTGTTGGGATGGAGAACTTGGTAGGGGTTGGGGGTAGTGTATGAGCTGCAGCTGGGGATCCTTATTATAGCCTGGCAAGGGTAGTCTTGGCTCTTTGCTTAGCTGGCAGGAATGGGGCTATAGTTTTTCTACTGTGTTGTTTAAAAGTAGTCTGCCTTGCTAGGCTGTCCCTTTTCTAGTCCTTTGGCTAGAGAGAGAGATGGCTTTTCTGAGACCTTTCTTTGTCTGCACCTACTGTTGTTTTTGAGGGCCAGTTTTCCCAGCACTCTGTCTGGAATATATGGAACAAAACTAAAATCCAGGAACTCACCGTGTCATTCACTGTGTTGAGGCCCCTAGTCGGTCTTCCTTCTTCTTCCCACCTATCAGTGTTCTGCTTGCTTTATATGTAACGTTCAGGGTTTTAGCTGTACTTCGTAGGAGAAATAGGGAAGTAAGTCTACTCCTTCTTCCCAAAAGACTCTCTTTCCTTTAATGGCATTTATTAATAGCTACACCACAGATCAGGCACCAGGAGAAGACAAACAATACTGAATTTGGAGTTCAGAGAACTGGGTTCAAATCTTAGCTAACTTGGGAGCTCAGAGAAATCCTAGCTCTGTCACTCATTAGTTCAGTATCATAATTCTTTATCCTCTTGGAACTTCAGCTTCCATGTCTGTAAAACAGAAGTAACATCACTGTTTCACAAGGTTGGGAAGAAGTGAGATTTTGTACTTGAAAGCACCTAATACAACACTTGGCACATAGTTTGCACTCACTGACTCTGAATCTATGTGTATCAAAATGGTTAAGATAAATATGAAATGATTAGAGACCCATAAAAAAACCATAAAACTAGCACTGAATTAATATTTATTCTCCATCTTCTTAATTTAAAATAGGCCTCAGCCCAAATTAATTCAGGGAAATACATATATAAATTAAATGTAACCTGTAATTTCAGTGTAGAGATAAATTTATCTTGATTTCTCACTTTTTATTCTAGCTGGAGAGTATTGTGGTATTTTTCAGCTTCAGAAATGGGAGTCCCAAAATTATGTTCTTTGGTGGTAACCTAGTGGAAAGAATGGGCATAATACCGAGGCATTCAATTTAAAACAGCTTTGTGATTTCTCACAACAATCAATAAATTTTAAAAATTATCAACATTCTTAGATACATTTCAACTGTTTCTAACCTTGTCACACCAGCAAATTTTTAAATTTTAAAAATTAACAACATTCTTAGATACATTTTCAACGGTTTCTAACCTTGTCACACCAGCAAAGCAACCTTTACTTTCTTAAAATTTTATGTTATAAAACTTTTCTGAGTGTTTTCCAAATATAAAACTACAATATTGAACATGCTTTTATTTTTTTTATATATGTTTTTATTGGTTTTTTAGAGAGAGGAAGGGAGAGGGAGAGACAGAAACATCAATGAGAGAGAAATATGGATCAACTGCCTCCTGCACACCTCCCACTGGGGATCGAGCCTGCAACCCAGGCATGCGCCCTGACCAGGAATCGAACCGTAGTTCCTAGGTCGACACTCAACTACTGAGCCACACCAGCTGGGCAACTTAACATGCTTTTAAAAAAAGGCATACCCCATCCTATCCCCTTCGCAATCAATGTACTAAGGACATATCTGGTTACCAGCAAATTAAGTAGTCGACCTCTAGGCCTGTGTTTTCCTATATAGCAGCCATTAGCAACCTGTTAATTGTTGCTTTTGTATATTAACAAAAAGGTTTGCTAGCTATATCACAAAGGGCTGACTTCCCTAATATATAAATAATTCCTGGAAAAAGAATACCCTAGTAGAAAAATTGGCAAAGAATATGGATATTTCACATACATGGCTTTTACATTGATTTAAAAATATTCAGTCTCACCATTTAGAGTGATACAAATTAAAACAATACTGAATACCCTTTTAAGCCATCACACTGGCAAGGAAAATAGTTGGCTATGTAACTTATACGTCACTGGTGGCAGTATAAACTGACACAATATTTATGTGTCCAGCAACATTACAAATACACATGGCTTCTGTATAAATTACATTTCTAGGAATTTTTCCCATGCACATATTTGTACATGGGAAAAATAACAAGATATTTCACTTTGACATACTATACCTACTACTCTGCATTGTGTTTTACTTGACAATGTATCTTAGAAATTGTGTAATTTAGGAAAATAATTTGTTCTTTCCCTGACTCTAGGCTGCCTTGATGTTAAGGAGAGATCATTTCTACAAGCACCATAGTGTCTCCTGGCAACACAGCTGTTATTCTCCAAAATCTCGGGAAATTACAGGATCAGGATTTTTCCCATAACACTCTAATTCAGCACTTAGCAGTGTGATAGATTTACCTCCCTTTTTTCCTTTCCCTAAACAAAACACAAGGCTGCTTTTCTGTTCATTCCAGCAGTTACTGCCTCACTTGCAACTTAAGCATTAGATCCCACGGAGTACTTCTAATTATGAGTCATTTAGGCCTTTATGGGGTAGGCTGAAATCCTAACTACCATTTCTTACACAGTTTCTGTTGAAAAGCATGTTCCTAGTTATAAAAATTTGACTTAGAATAACAGAATCAAATGACTTCTCACGATAGCAGTACTTTTCAATTTTTAGTGAATATAGGAATCCCTTGAGAACTCTGTTAAAAATGCAGATTTTTATTCACAACAGGCCTGAAATGGTGCATCTCTAAAAAGCTGCCCAGTGATCTCTATTTGGCTAGTACAGAGACTAGACCCATATAAAATTCCCATAAAACAAGCCCTGAATTAATATTTATTCTCCATCTTCTTATTTTAAAATAGGCCCCAGCCCAAATTAATTCAGGGAAATTAAAGTCTAAACCTGCCTAGCATTCAGAGTACTTCATAATTTGGTCCCTTCCCACATCGCCAAATTCATCTCCCACTTGACACCTCCAAGAATCCCTCTATTAAAGACAAACTATTCCAAACTACTCCACACATTCTTTATAGATTCAGAAACATGTTATCTTTATTCATAAGCCTTGCCCTCACCCTTTTCAACACTTAACTAGACACTTCTAAGGTTCAGCTTGAATTCCACATTCTCTAGGAGGTTTTCTGTCTTCTCCATCAGTGATCACTTCTTCAGTGAGACTTCTGTATATATTGGTTACAGAACAACTTATGTAGCTATTTGGTTTTTCTGGATGTAAATCTTTCTCAAACGGTCATTAGAATGTTAGGAACAAGCAACGTCCTAGAGCTCTCTGTACTCCCCCAACCTGCACAGAGTTGTTTCTATAATAGGAAGGTGTCATAAAAATTTGTCGAGGTTGATAAAACAGCAGTGTACTAAAGCAAATAAAACTGAATTTTCCTTCTTCTCTTTGGTAAACTCAACAGTCAAGCGGGGATTCTATAAAACTACCTATAAGACTAATCTAGAAATTAAAAGTAGGAAGAGGCCAAGAGACTATCTGACAATTGTGAGCTATCATATTAAAGTTGCTACTTTCCTTGCATTAGTTTTGGAGGCAATAAAAAAGGAGAGACATCAATGTATCTGAAATGCCCATACCTAGCTTGCCACCTGAATATCTTCCACATTCCCACGATCCCTAAATGGGACTATGAATGGAACTTGTGTTCCTGTACAGATCTCAGAGAATGCAAGTAAAAGTACGGTGCAAACAGCAAATTGTTATCATAAACATCCAAGCTAGAATCACAATCATTCTCAACTGGGAAGTAACACAGCACAGTGGTTAAGAGCATGTTCATTAGCATGTTCATTAGCATGTTCACCATGCTTGTTCTGCTGCTTCTTAGCTGCATGACTGACTATAGGCAAGTTACTTCTCTGGCCATGGATTCAGCTATAAAATAAGAATAACAACAGTACTTGCCTCAAAGGGCTGTTGTGAGGATTAAACAAATCAACATAAGTAAAGCACTTAAAAAGTGTCTGGCTAAAACAAGTGCTATATATTATTATTATTAATTACTATTATTACTAATTCCTCTCACTGACTCAACTTATCTAGTTGGCCATCAAATCCTACTAATCTTTTCACTAAAATCTCTCTCAAGTACTTTTCTTCCATCCCTATCACTGTTTCAGTTCATACTATCAGACTGTAACAGTCACATTTATTCAATTCTCAAATTTATAAATAGCTAGAATAATGATGAATCAATATTAGATTTGAATGGTGTGACACTCTCCTTCTATATTATATAACTAACCTATTTTCTTTTACTTAAAAACCGACTGTTATTCTATTTATTTCCTTACAGGTAACCCCAATCCTACCCTACCTCCTAAAAAGTGTAGTTGAAATGCCAGTAGAGGAAACTTAAAACACCGAATATCCTGAGATACAAGGGCATGTAGTAGGAGAAAAACTCTGGGGCACCGTCATCTTTGCAAACTGTCCCGGAAGACGCTTTCCTTGACTATTAAAAAAAAAAAGTATTCCTATACATATTTAGGTATCAGGTCCATGTTATCGCCTGAGTTATTCGTCTCAACTGTTCTTTCAAACAAAAGCCAGCTTCCCTGCCTTTCCTATGTGCAATGTCTACTGAAATTATATGAGATTTTCATGCAAATGCCTATGTAATCTCGGCCCTTTACCTCCCAAGGTCTACAGACAGGCTTAGAAGTGCGGAGCTGGGAGTCAGGATAAGCCAGGCTGAACTCCCGAATCTCTGACTTCAAATTCTCAGCTCCAGTGCAGAGCGTTTCTAACCCGAACAGTCTCCCCCGCAAGCCAAGCGAAGAGCTGCCGCAGGAAGCGACGCGAAGCGGTCACCCGGGAACTGGGCTCAACCCTAAGCTACTAAGAAACCGCCACTGGAGAAAAGTTCGCTCCTGGAGGGCTTCCCGGGGCCGCAAGTCGGTTCGATCCGCCCCTCACAGCAGCTCAGGCAGTGACCACCTACCTCGGGGTCACCCACAGCCCCCACCCCGCCACACGCTCCCTCCTGCAGCCGCCCTCTCAGAGGCCTTCGGGCCCATAAGCTGCCTGAGCCCAGCCCGGCGCATCACCGCTGCTCCCACCT